GAACAATAAAAGATTTCGTAGGGCGTTCGCGTCGACCTCGGTCGAGTGCCACTCGGTGCCTCTTTTCACTTTCGACTTTGCCGCTGAGACACCTCCGACCCTACCGAAGGGTTACAAGTTCCTCGTTCCGACCGCTGATCTTTACGTTACCCCTGAAATTGATTCCCCATCCGCTACCTTTCCTTTCACCTTCTTATTTTTACCGACATTTCAGTCCCTTCGATGCTATTATTTATTTATTCGCAGGAAACATCCTTGTTAGAACACAGAAATTTAAGTACTACACGAATGTAATTAGTATTGTTTTATGAGGGAAGGACACGAATTGTCCCGACTTCGATTTAAAGTGTACTTTTGCAGAATGATAGTATGTAAAATATTACATGTAGATATTCAATACCCTTAATATATGTATAAATGTTTAAATTCGAACAATTATAAGTTTCGTATAACCACATCTATTCGCAGAATGTCTTGTGAAATTTAATATTAGTACGGTTCGTAAATTTTTGTGCATATTATGCAATAGATTGAATTATTTGTAAGTATCGTTATTTTGGTCTCTAAAATTCTCAAGTTTTTGACATATTAATACCGAACACCCTGCATATCATGTGCAAGAGTCTAAATAAAATAAAGTGTTTAATTTACCTATACAACACGACAACCCTTCTGTATCCTATAAAAAGAAGTAATACACAAGAAAAAACGAAAATGTTATCGCTAATAAAAGTTAGTAAAATAATTATTGTTCCATTACAATTATTATATATTTAACCCCTATTACCATGTCCAACAAACTAAGATCTGTTTTTTAATTCAATATCCGGTTTCCATTGGCTTACGAAAACATTATAATAATATCGACTTAATTTTCAAAGTTAATAATATTTGCAAAAATTGTCTAAGATTTGAAGAAAGGTCGTTCCGATGGATTCGAGTCTTTTCGTTGCTTTTAAGCATCTCATTATTATCCTTTAATTATAAAGAAATGTCCAACACATGATTTTGCAATGCTCGCCAGCTGCGAAAGTTTTGATCGGTGGTGTGTATATGGCTGAACCGGTGAAAAGATTCGTATATTAAGAACGGCAGGACGCTTCCCTGTCACCGAAATTAACGACGGTTCCTTTACGGAGATTTTGATAACCATTTGTATCCGTCTAGCAAGTGTGCAACGTGTTCTACTCCAGGCGAGGTAGGATAAAGGTAGTCCATCACCATGACCATTTTAGGTAGGAACAAATTAATTTATTTCGCCGTTCGTGGTTGCGTGGGCGGTCGACTCCGATCCCTGGTGTCTCGTCATGCCAATCAGTAGCGCAAACAGAAGTTAAATTTAAAATGAGCCAGCGACTCGCACGAAATGCGAGGAATGCTCGCAGGCTTCGCGACACTGTAAATATATTAAGAGCCGTTCGTCGCTACTTCTATAAAAGAAAAGGGTGTCACGACGCGAGCGTCGCTCTTAAAAGACACGCTAATCAAGCGAAAATGGCGTCTTGAAAAATACCTACGCAGGCCAAACATGAACCGTCAAGTCCCCGCGATGGATAAATAATTTTTAAACCGATCGGTGAAAATTACGTAGAGTTTCGACAGCTTCTTCAAGCTAAATCACTTTCTTACATTACATTGAGAACAAATTTTTTTACATTTTCATTTAAGAATTTCGTTGTAAAGCGTTTTTTAAATAAGAAAGACTTACATTAGAGCTCAAAATACTAACGTGTGACAAATAATTCGTATACGAGAAAGAGTGTGCAAATAAAGATTACACTGTGCATTAAGAGAAGAAAATAAATTTTGACAGCAGAAGAACTATAATATTTATACTCTATATAGAACTATATTTCACAATTTTATATCTCCATCGAAGAGCAAATAAGAATGAAAAATATTTTAAATATACCTATCATTAATTAAACTATGCCTATTTAAATCAGAATGAAATCTCAATAATTTTTAATCAACGTGCGCGTGAATTATCGGTAAATTAAAATGTTTTCATTTAAGTAAAGCATTCCTTCCAATTTGTGTTCTGTTAATTAAAGGCTGAGCCCCAAAATATTAAACTCGTTAAGACACGATTAGCATGATACCCGACGACTGTAACAACGAAGTGATACAATATCGATTCAACGTTGGCGCGCGATATGAAAAAAAAAAACAATCACGAACAAACGCTGACCGCTCGTAAAATTAATAAGCGCAATGAACGTTAACGAGGACCATAAATATGGCCTCCGCGGCTTGCTTATCCGTCGATTAGCATAATCACCCCCGATACCCTTAGACCATCGTTTAAAAATATTATGATGAATCGCTGTGCATGCCCACTTTATAACAGGCTTGACAGGACCTAGAGCGCATTCAAAAGTTTGCCACTCTAATCAAACGTGGGAACTTCTTCAACAATATTTTAATTTTGAATATCGATTCTGTTTCATTAAACGATAAGGTAAATTTTACGTTTTAGTAATGAGAAAAAATCTGATTTTTTATAAATTGTTTGGACCAAACTCTTTCATTAGAATATCTACAATTTCATAAAAGAAGTTAAAAATATCCCGACGAATGTATAATCAATTCGTAGTAATTTACACGCGATACGTTGCCCATCGAACGAAAAAATTAACATTACCGAGGTAGTTTTCTTTATTACGCGCATAAATAATCCGACGTTCATTTTTCATTGCAACATTCGCGATTAAAAATGTGCTTAATTAGGACGGTGCTCCAGCCAGATGCGTGGAAAAATTCATTAATCACCGTTGTATTTTTTTCTACACATGCAATTGTTAATAACAACGCGATATCTGCTAGCACCGTAGTAGTAAGATCGTTCGTCAACGAGGCTTTTTAATTAATTATTAACGAGAAATCACTTTCTACATGCGATACGGGCGCGTCGCGATTATTGGCCCAAGATATCTCTGCGCGGTAAGGAATAACCATGTAATCAGTATCCAATTAGAGACCATGGCTTCGACCCATCCTCGACTTCCCTAATTACACGCCGAGATTTCGTCTATCTTAACGTATCCATTATACTCCCGCCAACGTTCGATTTTGCTCTCGTATTAACGTAATAATTACTCTGCAGATATTGTGTGGGAGCACCAAGTTGACGAGACGCTTCCGACATAATTGTTTACATCAATTTTCCCACAAACAATTACTTTCACGATCGTGCAATTAATTCGAGACTGCCGCGACGCGTTTTCGAAATATGTATCTCTGAAATTATTTGAAAACCAATTTATTTTTCGACGAAAACAATTGATTTTGCAATTTTACAGTTCAGAATGGAAGCAACAAATATTATTTGAATTAAATAAACCTTATATTTTTCAACGCAAAGTCGAGCAATTCCTTTTAATCTTTAAAATTTAATAACTTTAATATCGCGTAGGAGCAGTTAATTACGACGATGTCGGACAACTTTGTCTTTAACGAGGTCGGTTCTACATATTTTACAATCCCAACAAGAGCAAACTGCACAATGCGAGCCGCGGGGTCGCCTAATTGAATCGCAGAAAAGAAAAAAAAGCGTGGCTAACCGACCACCGCTAACTAGCCTTATTAAATGTAGAAGGGCACAATTAACGGAAAAGTTCCTCGAGGACGCGTGGCCTCGAGACGGTCCTCCGGACTCCGTCGTCCTTATTATTTATCAACCCTTCAGAAAAAGGGCCGCGACGCTCGTTAAAACGTTTTTCGCGGGCGGCGTTCGCAATTTGTTGGAGACCCACTTCGGGTATACCTGTTCGCCGCACGCGAAATTCCAAGAAAGGGGCCTAAAGTACCCATTCTCCTTCTCTATCCTCCCCTCCCCCAACCCGTCGTCTCTATCCCAGTCTCTTGTGTTTTGCGTAATCAGGTCCCTCGGTCCTCTCTTTTCCTCGTCGTTTCCGTTCTTTCCTGACCCCCTTCTTCGCGGTCCCTTTTCGCCGCTCCGTCCGCCCGCAAGGCTCAACGGACGATAAATTCGAACCAGAGCCAGCACAATGCGTGAAACCAGACTTAACGAGTGGGAAAAAGGAGACTTTACGATTTTTCGGAAAGGGTCCGGACTCTTCGCGTTACACGGACCCTTTAATGGCGACATAATGTAAGGCCACTACGGTTTAGCCCTCCAAAGGGCCCTCGAAGGATAAATCAATTCGAATACCAGCGCTCCCTCCAACAACGAAACCATCTTCTCACGGAATTCTACATTTTACTGCGTTTATTTCATTTTTATCGTCTAAACTGGACTTTACATTTATTTCATTTTTGTAAATGATTGGATGATGTTCTTTCTTCTGTCAAAATTTCTGTTAGACGGCCCTTACAAGATCGTTTTCTCCACTTTGGGCCCTAAGACTACTATAGGCATACAGGGTATTTCCAGCTTAAATGCTGAAACTTTCCTCTGAAACTAGACTGCGAAATTCATATTTTTAGAATTAATGAAATGGAAGCTTCATAGAGGGTTGTCTTAACCCCCAAAATACAATGATTCTAAATATAGTAGTTCAGGGTATTTCCAGGTTAAATGCTGAAATTTTCCTCTGAAACTAGTGTAGGGGAAAGAATAGTTGAGATTTGGAAGACTGGGATAAGAAAGGCGTGGTCGGAAAAGAATTCGTTACTGTCTTTACTTTTGTTTCCTGTTACAAGGTTTCGCACGCACTCTCGATTCCATCGAGAATCCACGCTATTTACATACTTGTTAGTTGTACACATATCACCACCTATATTATAACTTCGGCTTGTTTCCCCCGAAAAGCGAGGCAAATACAAAATTCGCCTTCACTAGACTGTGAATCTTTATGCAAATTTATATTTTTAGAATTAACGAATTGGAAGCTTCGTAGAGGGTTGTCTCAACCCCTAAATATAGTATTTCTTATATTTTCTCTTACATTTCGTAAATTAAATAATAATAAAAAAATTTTATCTCAATTTTTCGCATTTAACTCTGAAAGAGACTCGGTGGAAGTAAAGTGACTCACTTGTTTGAGGTCCAGAACTATAGTTATGTACTCGTAGTGTTCTCCTCTGGCTAGCGTGGGACTCTGCCACCACCTGCTAGGATTCGTGTCCAAGATGTTGCTAATGTTATGCCTTTTGCCAGGATCGGGACTCCTTGCGTCACAAACCGCGCATCTTGATGACTCGGAGGGTTTGCAAAATGTCTCCGGTCCCTCCTCGCCGCAAGTCGCGTTTGCGTAAACGTCTGCCTTCGCGGCGACGTTGAAAGTCGACGGAAAGAGGCCGCTGTTTTTTAAGTTTTTGCTCGCGCCATATTGCCCGGACGGCCCTGGAATCAAAAGAAATCATTCTAATTTCTCGTGACAACCGAAACGTTAAGCTTCCCTAAGAAAACACTCAAATGCAAATATTCGATAATTTAATAGAGTTGCTATTTTGTATGTGGTTCTTATTAATACGTTTATTACAATTCTGAATGAAAAGGTTGCAGAACAAATATTCTAGAATACATAGAACTGTTACATACACTAACCAATTGCAGATAATTAACGTTTTCCCCATCGACACCTACATGCAGATATCTTGCGCAACATTGTAGTATTCCTAATGTCAATGTCTTGAAATATGAAAATCCGAGCATGGGGCTAATCGCGACATCTGTTATCATACAATAAATATTGTATTGGTGTAAACTAGGCTTTATAAAAGTGCTGTGCACGTTGTCGACTTCTCCGTACAGTCTTATGTCGGCAGTTAAAGCGAACACGTCTTTCTTTGTACACAAAGTATTCTTGTCGAATATTTATTTCCTAAATAAATACGACAGAGTTTCGACCCAAGTATCCATTCAATTAATGTAGTTTTATAAAACGAAAATGCTGTTCTTGACGGTTTTCTGTTAACCAAGCTTGAGGCTCGGACAAAAAAAAAGAGACGCTCAGGGGGTGCAATAAACGAGTATCCTCCTCAGGTAGTACTGACCTTTGCAAGGGACTGCACCAACGGATACAAATTAAAAATACGTGCATGCAATGCTTATTCTCAACAGTTGTCAATATACAATTGTGATCTTGTCAATTATTTCAACAACCAACACAATGACCTAAAAAAGTTTCCCTCTATTATACTCTAACTTAACTATAAATTCATCGTCCAGGAAAGTTGTTAAGAGGTAAAACCACTGTAAAACCCTAAAATAAAGCGTTTTCGTCCGATTTTTTTTTTGGATGGATGGAAAAATAAGAGGATAATAATATTCAAGAAAATTATTAACCATGTCGATAAGTGTTTAAAAAAATAAATTTATTCAAAAATAATGCAAAATAACGACACTGAAACCATTCTCGCGAGGCGTGTTGAATTTGAGGCGGTCTGCGGCACGCAGTGTAACAGACGCAGTATCTGGAAGAAAACAAAAAATTTTTCTTTTAATCTACATAAGTATAGCTAGAGAAATACGTGGGGGATCTTTGATAAGTTAATTTTAACATTATTTATTGACAAATGATTGCCCCATTTTTTGTACAAAATTGAACTTTTTACTTCAAATGCGCGCCAATCACACAAAAATTAATATTTCAAAAATCCCCTACGTATTTCTCTAGCTATACTCATGTAGATTAAGAGAAAATTTTTTGTTTTGAAGGTTGATCGGCCCCGAATCGTAATCTTCTCGACGAAAGAAAAAAAAACTACATAGCTAAATTGCTCCAGCGCCGGTGCAAATACCTCAAAACGTTTTCGCGAGTTTCGTCCCGTTCGTTGGAAACGATCAGGGTCAATACACCCGAGCACCGCCCGGAGTGGTGGTAAACATAAAATTTCACGAGAAGCGTATATCGAAGGCTCACGCAACGAACGGTCCCGGAGATTTATCTGGTAATTTCCTTCGGGTACGTACATCGACAGGTTTTGACAGAGCTCAGCACGAAACCAGTCGTCCGGGAGCGAGCAAGTTGCCGCGGAGTCGTCTATTGTATGGCGGCAGTATGCACGAACAGGTTCACCGGTATCCCCGGCCACCCTGGCCATCTGAACAGGTTAAACGCGCGTAATCGACACGTGAGTCCCGCGCCACATCAAAGAAACGTGACGAGTTATCGGCAACTGCCGCATCGGACAACCGACGACGAGATAAAAGGCATTCTACGACGCGTTCGCGATAATTAATCGACGATCGTAACCACGAAAATTACACGCGGACAAGCATGTATCGCCGTCGGACGATTCCTATCCGAGCGGAGAAAACGCGACGTCCGACTTTCGCGCGCTAATATCCGATTTGATTTAGCGAGTACACCCACGAGGAGCGTTTCTGTAACATCAGACGAGGCTAGGGGTATTTTTTACGTTCTCTGGTTGCCAGTTAATGATGCTGCCTGGTGTGAATTATGCACCGTGCACAGCGTGCGCCGCAATGCTCGGTATATCAGATCGAATGGGAGCTATTGGGGCCGAAACGAGTTGCTTTCGGATGCAAATGTGCATTCGCAAATTATGTTCTTGGGAGTTTTTCATAGAATTCGCGACGATGTGGAACGAGCTTGTAAAATTAGAGATGAGGTGGTCTTTATTAACGGACTGCGGATGTTTATGCGCTTATGGAGAGTTTTAATTTTCAAGAATGTACAAAATTAAGTTAGTATGGAAAAATGTAAGAGACAGTTCACTCGTTAATGTTCGCTACTTTTTCTTGTGATATTTATGTCATCCCTAACAATTTCTAGAACTGCTTCGACAGAGCGTCTATGTTATCTATGATGTAATTTATAAATATGAAAGTAGTTTAATTGCATTGCCGAGCTTTTTTCAATGGAAACGATACTAAACACGGCCATATTTACTTTCGCGAGTAAGAATTAAAAAAGGAATGTAAAATAAATTAGACACTTTTTATAATAGTAATGTAAATAAGGTGAGATGATAAAAATTGGATTGTAATGCAAATATAAAAAAATGATTATATACAAAAGATATGTACATAACATTATACAGTAATAGTCTGATTATCCGGCATACTCGAGGCTGGGGCAATCAAATATGCCCGATAATTGGACTGTACCTACATATCAAGTGACAAAAATGAGAACTATAATCACGGTCGAGGTATACGAGTAGACCTTACATCAAATGTATTTTTTCGGCCCATTTTTATGGGGCTCTGGAGGCCCATTACTATTTTCGTGTGACTCACAAATATTATCAACAGGTTACAAAAATAAACACAACAGGAAGCGAGTCAGAAACTGAAATTACTGTAACATTTCTGGCCACACATTATATTTTCGGTAAAGAATTTTTTTCTCGAAAGTGCGTAGGATTTTCGGGGTGTGTATATTCACCAAAAATGGTAGTAATTCACCCCCACAATTAAAAATAATTTTTTTAGAATGATTTGAAATATTTTAATTTCGCCGAAAAATTTCTCCACCTATTTCCTGTCTGTTTTTTTTTTAAATTCATTTTGATTTTTAATAGAGAATACGCGAGGTAAATATTTCGGTTATTCGGACATTCCGGGTAATCGGAACTGTATTTGATGATAATAATCTATTGAAACCCTAAAAGAAACTCTTATTCAGCCTTTCTATTTTAAAATTGATCAATTCGAAAATCATCGAAAATCATGCAGTTTGTAAAACAAAACTACATACTTTGATTTGTGAATGATTTTAGAATCTGTAGTATAAACAAACGATGAACACTTTTCTCTATTTCACTCACTCTCGATGTTTTTCACATCGACAACAGGCGTAACAATTGACAATTCAATAGTACCTTCCTTGATAACGTTCGCTTCCTCTCTAATACTCGATCCAGCGGATATTGGAGAGGGATTACTGTATTGCATTTTCCAAAAGAGCGGCAGAACTTTTGATCGAGGCGTTTTGGACATGTGAAATTTGTTTTTTTAGAGTTTGTCCTTACAGAAAATTGATCTTTAGCGGTACTGAATCGATAGTATATAGTTCTTTCCTCGACACTGAACTTCGTACCGAGGAACAACGATGAACTCGATTCACGGCGAACAGCTATAATTGACCGATCTGGGTCGAAGCGACGGTTAATTTCTCGGTCCCGGTGTTTCTTTTCCCGTGTCAACGAGTGTCACGCCTACGCATAACGCTTCCCACTTGCGTTTCGATCTTATCGAGTTGCTCGAGCACAGCCCGGACACTTCCCTCTGGGATTCCCAACACACGTCGTTACCGCAAGAAGCTGCACCCGGTATCGGGATAAAATCACCGATCGAGAAACGCAACCGCGATTCACGATAATCGACGAATGCCTTCCAGACAACGGCCATCATACTCGCTACCATCTTCTTCGATCGGCTACCATATCTCGGATCACCAGTTAAGCATCGTTTATTTCGTCCAGTTATCCGGGGATCTCGCTTTCGCTGCCCAATGTTCAATTTATCGGGCAGCCTGAGCTGATAACAGGTATTGGGATCTCTGCTTGGCAATCGAATATCTCGCTTTCGGGTATTCCAACTTGGGTATACATTGAAAATGTGAGGGATTGTTGTTGTTGGAAGAAGCGAGCGAGATAGCAGGAGGAAAGTGTTGAATCGTGGATACTGTTGAAGCGGTACTAATCGCTCCATTTGTTATCATTAGACTGCAGATCTTTATGCAAATTCATATTTTTAGAAATGGAAGGTTTGTAGAGGGTTGTCTGAACCCCTAAATGTAATAATTCGTATCTTACTTTAAGAATTTCCTATATTTTTGCAATTTCAATATTCTATAAATGCATAAATATCCGTCTAGTTGTCATAACTCGAAAGGTGTCTTTTTATTGTATATGCAACACAGTACAGTTTTGTTATAAGTCTGCCAATTTTATTTAAATTACCCACTCGCCATTGAGTTTTATATATTAAAATCAACGTATTTTTACATTCATGAGGTACTCGTGTGACGGTATTTGCCTAACAATTAAATAAATATACAAATCGATTACAACATTCTCAGAAAACAAATGCCCAAAAAAATGTAAAAAAAATTAAATAATACAGTGGGGACAAAAGTATTCATACACTTGGAATATAGAAATAAAAGCAACAATATTTTCTATATTATTAATTATATTCAAACATATGTTGCTGTATATCATACATAACACTTATATCAACAAATGAGTAAAAAATAAAAGTAATAACATCATTTAGTAACTTAATATGGATTGAAATTCACACGACGGGCAGAAATCGCTGGGACAAAAGTATTCATACATTTAATTTTTTAAATTAATATTTTGTAGGATAGCCCTTCTGGCGAATTACTTCTTGTAATCTATTAGGCATTGACAACACTAAACTTT